TTCTGCATGGCATTGAGCCCAAATTACTAAGCATTTGCTCAGAAGGGGATGTGGAGGCTTGTGTTTGACAGAATAATGCCCTTGGTATATACAGTACATGCATTGAGCTGGGAAGTAAATAGTGTTGTTTGTCTGGGGAAATGTTACAAAGCAGTGTACTGAAGTTATATTAAATTTATGTTACTCATTCGATTCTAGTACTAGATCCTTACTCCAGAGGTGAGATACTTACTATCTACAGCCATTCTGTCACTGAACTGTCCTTCAGTGAATGCTTGATAATAAAAGCTCTAAGGGAACCGGATATTGGTTCTGATATCTCGGACAGTATCTGGGAATCTGTTCTTTTATGTGAGTTCTGTGTCTGTCATTGGCTCCTGCACTTTTAACTCCAAAGACTGAGATGAAATATGATCATTTTAAGTCCATAATTATCTTTCACTAAGCAGGTTATTTTGTCACAAAAATTGTAAGGTGAGTTAACACTTCACAAAATAGACTGCTGCCAGAAAAAAATGAGCATAATTTAAAGATTTTCCTTTTGCATACATGGTTTTTACCCACCCACGACGGAGGGATGCATGCTTTGGACACTAAAGGTTTTCAGTCTGCCCACTACTTATCAGTGTGGTAGAACATTGTTAGTTTTTATTTTGTGCAGTGTGTTTGGCATGCAGGAGTAGCATTGCACTGAAATAAATAGACTTTTGCTAAATATAGCTGCTGAAGAGTTGACAACATTTCCATTTTTAATTTTAGAAAACAGTTTTAAGCTACTTCATTCATTTACTAAGATTAACCTAAGTCATAATGACTGGTATTATTAGTCACATTGTCTAAAAGTATAAAACATTATCAGCATCTTAAGACAAAGGTTTCCAAGCTATGCCTAAATCTTTGCAGTGAATCCTGTCTGTGGAGTATGTTACCCAAACAGGCCAATGTGGCCAACTGGAAATGTTTATGGGCATCTCTTCTAACAATCACATACAAATGGTATTCTTCAAAATTTAGATTAGCAATAATACATTTTAAACTTAGTTTAATTTAGCCAAAACAAAATTAAAAATAAGTCTTTAGGTAGTAATCGGTATGTGAAAATGAAACTTGTTGCCAGTCATCTGGCCTTCTTTATTACTGGAACCTGAATTTGATCAGCTTTTTTCTACGGAGATTGTGGGGTGTAGTTTATATCACTGTTTGAATCTTGGATGCAAATTAGTGTGTATTCCACAGTGTGAAGAATCCCATGTATGATTTTTTTGCCATTTTAATGTATTCTGGAGATGTCATCAAGAAGGCATGTTTTCACAAACATAAATTTGCAGTTTGTTTCTTTATTTTTAATGGGAAGTATGACAGGTTCTTTGTAAGAAGAGGGCTTTGTTTGGCAAAGTTTGTTGAAAGTGTTTTTGCCTTTATTTACTTTTATTTTTTCAGTGTTCAGATGTAAACACTGAACCTTTTGGAGTTTTCTCGTTCATGCTCCGGGTGGTTTGTAGGAAGAATGGCACTGTTGTGGATTTGAACTATGCTAGAGAAATCATTCAAAGAAGTCTTGGTGATGTTCTGTTGTCAAAACAGACAGAAAATCCTGTCTTTTCAACTGACGGTCTCATGTCTTTCAGTATAACCCTGTTTTGAAGGGTTGGGTAAGTTGTGTTGCAGTGCCTCAGTTGCATGCTTGATTAAATGAGCTTTTTACACCAAAGGAAAGTGTGTCAGTTCTTCTCCATTTTTCAGTTCTCAGGAACAGCTGGGGTTTGTTTATGAATGCAAACACAGTGTATAAGATCAGGCAACAGCTTTAATTTCCCTTGCAGATACACATTGATTTTTATCCAAAATGAAGCATGGTATTATCCAGAAATGTCAAATTTTGGACCTATTGAGAATCCGCTGTTTCTACCTTTTCAGTTACGGACCTGGGTGATATCTGGAAAGCTTCCTGGGAAATTTCTGGAAAGCTCTTTCAGGTTGCAGCAGGTTGCCTATTAATGCTATTATTTGTTAAGGCCAGCTACTGTGTAATGCTATAATGCCATTTATCTCTCATAGAAATGATTGCAAAAACAACACTACACAGTTGTGACATTTTAGTCACCTGTGACAGAACAAGTTAGTTGTTTAGGAAAAAAATCTTGTTTTGTGCTGTTTTGATTTTAAAAACAAGGCAAAACTTGCAAGGAAACAATGGGGGCAAGTGCACTGCCTTACTAAGGATTCTATCCTGCCTTACATTTTCAGTTACTTTCAGTAATAGTAATTGCTGTCCTTTTAAAGGTAGTCTCAATATGTTGGGTCATGGTCGTTCTGCCCTGAAACAAACTGTGCAGTATGTTTTTTAAAGGAAGTGTTTTTCATTCTCTGCTATTAATTCTGGGGACAGCATAGCATATTGGATGTCTTTGGACTCGTAACTTGACCCAGGTGGTTCTGGATTTGTTTAAATAAGCTGTTGGGTGGATGGTAAACAAAAAATGCCCACATGGCACAACATTCCATAGCTGGAGAAAACTCCATTATATAATGGTGTGTCATGAAAACATGTTCATTTCTGTTTCATACAGTACTACAGTATCTTAACTAATCATGAATTCCCAGTCCCTGTTGTCTTTGCCTTCCTAAAACCTGTACACATGTGTTCTTTAAAGCCTTCTTGGGGAAAGGACATTTTATGAATCTAATCAGACAAATAGATGTCATTTTCAGATTTGTCAGGCGACTACAATTACTTTTTCTCTTGTATTTATCTCTAGTAACAGACAGGGCTGTATTAAAACACTTGACCGTAGTTTTTAAAATGCCAACTTCATCTGACAGTATCTGGGTTTAATGGGAAAGCCACTTTGTTTCTGTAGATGCCTGTCCATTTCAGGAGTTGTCTTGATGCACAGCTCTGTTTTAAGAAGAGAAACAGCACGTGCTTATGCAAATTATACATTTAATATTGAAATACACAAGGTTTTATTTAATGTTTGTGTAATATTAATGAAGACCTTACGTGATGATAATTTCCACGCATGCAGGAGAGGCATTGCATCAACATTACACCAACATAATTCAATATTCAGCCCTTCTCTTGACTTCAAGGCCGTGTTTGTTTCTTCTTATGTGGCACTCAAATGCTAATTTAAGATTATGGAATGCGTGTTTACACCATTTTGTTGTCCCTGTTAGACTCCTTAATTTTTAAATAAAATGTATACACATACAACTCTATATCGACACAAATTTCTGTTAGTAATAATTTAAGATACCTCCCCTTTTGTTTTGCGACATGTTTTGTTTATTGTTGTTTCACTGGTTTGATTGTAATGCTGGGAAGTAACCTGACCTTATGTCAGGCAAATGTTGGGTGCTGAAATCCTTTAGTAGTTTAGGTGGTATTTGATTTCTTTGGCCAGTGTATGTACTGTAATAAGTAAGCCTGAAAGCTGTCTAACCCCAGCAGAACTACGTTCTGTAAATGGTCAGACAAATTTGCAGCATGATATGTCACTGAAGACCATCAATTTCCTCCTGTTACTCCACAGAATAGAAGAGCTATCCTTCCTTGCTGTGTTTAAACTCGGGTCAAAGCATTTACCTTTATTCCTATGTCCAGTGACATTGCCTCTTGTTGTAATAAAGCAGGAGTCTCAACATCTTAAGAGTATTAAAGGCTAATATGCAGATGCCTTGTGTTAGCAATAAGAACTGAAGAACAGAAGATAAATAAGGTTATTTTTTGTTTAACCAGGTGCATGAAGATGCAACAACATATTTTATGTAGTATTATAGAAATGCAGAGATTAGTACTGCATCTGAAATGTATCTAAACTCAGTGCTTTTGGCATTAATATAATTTTAGGTCTGCCAGTGTTGCTTACTTCAGTGGTTTAGTTTTCATAACTTGGGTTTGTCGAGTTCTTGTTTATTTTCAAATTGTGCTGCTTCACTGTGCATCTAGTATTTTAACTGCCTTATATACAGTTATAATAAATGCAGCTAATATTAAAATTTAGACCTGTTTATTTCAAATGAATAGCAACCATCTACAGTGTCAAAATGAATTCCCTTATTTTTTAATTTACAAGTTCCTTAATCCCTTCCTCCTGATTAAAATGGAAACTCTTTGATTCCTATCATTAAAAGCTTCTTGGTGAATTACATCTCATTATAGATGTGTGCATATATCTTTGGACACTCATAATTGACTGGGGTTCTGTGTGGAAATGAGCAATTAGCTATAGTTGTAGGTCCTTTGACAAATGCAAAAATTTTTAGTTGATGTACAGAATTAATGAACCAAGGATGAAAGTTACATCACAGGAATCTTTTAAGCATCAGCTGGAATTGTGTTCTGAGACAAACGTGATGTCATTTCACAGGCTGAAGTATTGAATTGCCTTCAGAGTCCTCTTACCAAGTTGGAAGTGCACACAAAAACTCAGTCACTCCCTCTACTCTAAAAGTGTCTTCATACAGGGCAAATTTGTTGGAGATTTCTGGAACCAGAATTAAGACTTGCAGATCAGGAGATTTTTATTGCTGTGTCTTTGAGGTTTGAGGACATCCATGTTCTCTGATGCAGTGTTTTTTTGGGGGAAAAGACATGCTTGTGGGTAGCTGCTGCTGCTGTACGCAGAATCAAAGCAATTAAGTGTATTTGGAAAAACATAATTTTTACTTTTAAATTCCTTTTCTCTCTGTAATAAATGTTCTAATCAAAACTACATTACTTTTCCAGCATTTTAATTAAAGTGTATAGTCCCACTTTCTTTTTTTGGGGCAATTTCCACTTTAGTTTGACAGACAAAGATTGACTACAGGGTGCCATAATGAAGTCCAGCTGTAGGTTCTAAAAGGGTTTATTTATAGTATCATAGAAATGTCAGTTTCCTTTGACGTCACCTTTAATCCTGAATAAATCTCAGGTATTGGCGAGTTATTTGTAAATTGAAGATGCGTTGTGCCATGCCATGAATCTAAGATCGGTTACTTCTATCATCCACTAGATGGCAGCAACAACACTTCATAGCGTCGCTCCGTCTCTGCGGAATGAGGTCTTAAAGGTACAGTATAGGGGTTCATACTGTATGTATTGGATTAATAAGAATGTTAAGACAATCTGAAAATATATTTTTGTTAGTTTTTTTTAATTAAATGCTTATTACTGTTACTAACATGAAAAATAATTTTCACTGTTTTTTTTGTATACGGTGTAGTGCTGTATATGCTGTGATGCCAGCATTTTAGATCAAAGTGGATTTTTTTAAACAGCTGTACCGATTGCAATAAAGGTGTGAATTGTATGGACTGCAGTGCTTTCCTAGTGTTTCCTTTGCTTTGTAATTGTCATTTGCTTTTTATTGCTTGTTTCTTTTTTATCTTTCTCACAGAAGATGTTCCAGCTTTATGGGGTTCACTGTATATTGCCAATTGCCTAGAGGAAAACAGTTTTTCAGGTGGCAGTCATGTTGTACAGAATAAATATGAGCACTATTTTGACTGTACCCTTTTGTTTTAGGCTTATCTTTCAAAACACGCATAAAACATTTCTCTTTTAAAGTTTTTAGTATCTTACTAGAAATCATAGTTTAGCAGTTCATGAAAGAAAACAAAAAAAAAACAATGCAGATCCTGACAGGTAGGATGTATTTATTGACATGCCCAATCTAATCTAAAAATTTTTGGAGTCTCAACAAGTACAGAATAACAAGACTAACAAACCGACATTCATAATACCCGCTTCCTAATAGTTGATTTGTATTTTCATAAAAATATGAGAAAACAGCTCTGTTTTTAGTGTAATGTGGTGTGTCTGGAGGAAAGATCACTGAGCAGCATCACTGAGTCAGAGAGCAGCTTGAAGATGTTGTTTACAGCTTGTTACCATGGTTTCCAGTTGTGTGTGTCCTCTGTGTGTCTTATGCAAAAGATTGAGAGCATAAGAGCATAAGATGACAGGAGGCCTCTACATTCACCTGCATTGATCCAACAATTCCATCAGGCTTTTGTTGGAGGGATCCCAGGGAATTGACTTCATTCATCTTGTTCCTAATACATATGAAAGTACATAAGCCCTTTCTCGAAACAAGCCAGGGTGTCGCTTCGACAACATGGTCGGGTAGCTTGTTCCCTGTTCCCTCAGTCCTTTGTGTGACGCAGTGCCTCCTGTTCTTTGTTTAAAATGAACTTCCACATAGGTTCCACTTGTATCAAATTTATGTCAAACTTGCTTCCACTTCTGATACCATTGTGAAGAGAACTGCCCCATGTTTTCTATTCTGAATGTACCTGCATGTGGTGTTCAGTCCTGTTGATGACGTTGTAGATCTTGGACCCAATCTTTTATACTTTTAGTTATATGAAACAAGCCCCCTTGTAACCTCCTCTTATAAAATGAAACAGATTCCTTTAATCTGCCTTTAATGTGTCATTTGAATTTTTATAGTGCTTTTCACTGATGTTGGAGTATTCTGAAGGAATTTTTTCTCGCCATGTTCTGTGATACAGGCAGTAAGAGTTAGTCTCCTCTTCCCACATAATTTTATGCATCATCTCCTCAATATTGATGACATGTATTAGGAGCACAGAAAGTCTGAGTAGCTCCCGTTTGGGGGAAAAAAATATTTTGAAATGCCAGTAAACCCTGTCACCAAACAAAATTCTCTTGGGATGCACTAGAGTACAAAGGGAGCTAATCTTTGGAAGATTGTTTTAGACAGTCTGTAGTTAATTATATTTATTGTAAAATTGAATGCACAGGTGGGATGTTGCTACTTGAATGTAAATGTTGGCAAGCAGTGTGGAGCAGCAGACTGCCTGCTTGTATTTATTAATTCATTTATGTTTACCAGTAAAAGAAATTCAAGTCTTGAGTGTTACTCACAAAAAAAAGTTACTGAGTCCTTAAACATTTTCACTTTCAGAATTGCAGATAAGTACACATTGTTTTTTCAAAACATCACCTAAATCTGGACTTGATTGTTTGTGATTTTCCCTGACCAAATTATAAATAATAATTTCAGATTATTCTGTTGTATAAAGCATTAACTAAAGACTTGTTTTCTTCACACCTTGTGCAGTATAAAGTAGCCCTTTTGAGCACAGAAAGCGTATTGGCCAAAATTGTTGCCCAGATGACAGCATGGGGTTCAATATATACTGTATGTATACATAAGACTTTGTACCCATACAATAATTCCAGTCTTGTTCCTTAAAGGTCTGTGCATATTCATGGGTCATTTCACAAAAAGAGCTTACCATACATGTGCGTCCTGCAGTTTAAAAGCAGAAAAATGGGACTACAGGTACGGATATAAATCAAAGATGGGTGTACAGTATATGTTGTTAAACTGGTTACATTAGGGTTCAAAGGCTCTTACGAAAACTATAGGCTGGACTGGCATCTTAAGTTATATTAACTTTAACTCTGTATTCTAGTGAAATGAACTGCATCAGGCAAATTCATTAAGCTCTGTACCCATTTTCTTTTATCATACTGACTTATTAGAATTCCTATTTAAAAAAAATAGTTTGAACACCGCACACCTGGTTATTGTGTTGAAACTACCTGTATACATATTGGAAAGAGTAGCCGTGAATTAGAAATATTATGTATGCAGGACAGCAGCAGATACAAAAAGGAGCAGACAAGAACACATTGATGCATGGGTCTTGGGTGTGTGTGTGTGTCATGTGCAGCCTTCTTTGTAGATGGTATGATACTTGCTGTGATGTCAACTGCGTAGTCATGTGTAATGGAAAAACTGATGAGGTGGAGCTTATTTTAAGGAGTGTCTCAGTATACTATACATGTGTATAATGTGTTGTTTGTGATTGAGAAGTAGATGTGTGATCAAGGCAATTAATGATGCTCTCCTTGTTAGCAGTGTTTTCTTAGACTTTCTAAGCAATGTATTTTGACATTCGTAAGTGCCAAACTGCATCAAAATTAATACAGATCATCCTACTTCTACACAGTGCCATCAAGGTTAAAATTAAATCTTTTAAAAATAAGCTTGATGGTTGGTAGCTGAATTCTCTGGTGACTCTTATTCCACCTTTTAGTCATCTGTTAAATACGACAAGTTCTGTCAGTGTTTGTCTGTTAGGGCCGCGATATACTATAAAACAATCTCATACCTTTAAACCCAGCTCAAAATGACACGGTGTCAAGATTGTATACACTTCTAGAGACCTTAGCCTTCATTTGGAACTTCTGCAGTTCCTGTGCAGAAGAAATTAATCATGGTTTGTTTTACTGCTGTTATTTTCAATTCCTGTAAATATGTTATGCATTCCTGTTAAAAAATCCAATTTGACTTCAAATTACTATTTTATATAAAAGTGTATGGCATTGTTAAATAGGTTGAATAGATACAGCAATGTGAACAGAAGATAACATAGCAAATGTGGTTTGTGACTGCTACCCACTAAACAAAATACTGTAACAGTAGCCACTATCATAAAAGAGAGACAGTGATGACTTCTAATAGCAGATGCAAACAACTCATCCATTAAAATTGGTTTATTTCTTTCAAATAACAGTGTGGAAACTGTTGACCTTGTTACTAATTACAGTTCTAGCTTTCATATTTGGAGAACTAGTCATTATTTTAAGTGCAGAAATTCACCAGTTTCCCAGTTCTACTCTTTCATATAGAGATGTCAGATGAATGCATGGAGTTTCACTGTAGTTGATGATACATTAATGCTTAATGAATGAGCACCTCATTACAGTGAATAGATGTGTCTTTCTTGTGGGCCTTTGACATCTCAGAGGCATGCTCCTTTGCAGACTTCCTAAAGAAGGCAGTGAAAGCACAGAGTTCTAGATTGATTTAGATAGACGGAATGTTACACTTTGGATCTCCATGCAAGCTCATCAGATCTGCAATTGTACAACTGTTTGAGGTGAGCAGGTCGAGTGTCAATTTAAAATGCAGATTTGGTGTGGATTTCTGTGAGCAGGGTGCTGCATTTTGGAAATCAGTATGTCTATTCCCTTGCGCTAGTCTACAATCATCTTAAATATTGACAGATAACAAATGTTACTTATACAGTGTACTGTACGTATGCTTCCGTACCTTCTGTCTCACATCAAGGTGCCTGTATGGGGTGAAGACCACCACAGCAAAATCAGAATTTTACTTTGTCAAAAAAATTGAAGAAAACAGGTTAAAATGGCTGTTGGTGCTTTGTTTTCTTTGACAGTAAATCAACAGCAGTCCATAGACGGACAGCTAATGTCCCTATTAGCCTTTTATAAGAAGTAAGATAAATAAAACCCGAAGTAGCAGCAAATATTGGAAATCTCATCTGTATTGAAAACTGGAGTTGAATTAAGAAATGATACTTGAATGAAGAAAAGGCATTTGGTTATACAAATAATTGTAATATTAATTATTATTGTATAAATGTTAATTCTGAAGTGCTTTAGGGTGTTTAGCAGCTGACAGATTGATTTCCGAGGGAATTCAAAGGAGATGCCAGTTACTTTCAGGTTACACTGATATATAAGATACATACTAATGATATGGCTGGTTAATTATTGATAAGAAATGCATATTTAAAATGTGGCTCTGGGGCTCAGCAGTGGTATTGGAGCTGGATTGATGGGAGAGCCTGCCAGCACACAAGTGGAAGAAAAAAAAACAGCTAAAGGCCCCCCTGAAGAAACAGAAAGTTTACACTTTCTCTCTCAGCATTTGTATTTCTGAACTAGCGAGGACCCCCCGTTGACTCATTCTCTTTCTGTTTACAGTTCTATACGCCACCCAAATAAATCCTGCCACATAATGAAAACATACCTTACACCTGAAGATGCTTCTTTGCCACATTGATTTTAAATAAAAGACACCATTTGCCCATGAAGGACCCCCTTAACTGTCTTCACAAGGCCCGTTTTTGGTTAAACTTGGAAACCGATTTCTTCTTTTTTAGCCGATATTTTAAACAAGAGTGCTCTTAGCTTTTTCAGAGTATTGTTAATAAATGGAAGATCTCCTCATAGCCTGCCTTGGTGTTAGAAGTGGGTTTGGGTGACTGGTCTCTCTGCTCCTAAAAA